ACACACACACACACACACACACACACACACACACACCCACACTCACTCACACACACACACATACACAAACGCCTTCTACTTCTAGCGTACCTTCCCTTTTTCTTTTCCCTGTCTCTCAACTAGTCTTAGTCCTCGGGGTGAGAAAGCCCACTGACATTACTTTGTCTTTACTCCCAAGCTCCATCAGATAAAGACACAGCCTCGGGACAAATTACAAGTCGTTACATTGGGAAAACCCGACACTTCCAGTGTCCGGTTCTACTCTGCAACAAAGAATCTGTCATTCACAGCAATGGCGTCGTGCTCAACTCTAATGTAGACCCCCCCTGAGATGTTTTTCTCCTCTTATAAGACATGGGTCTTGAATGAGCATAAGGGGAAAACAAGAGATGTCAGAAAACACGTGTGGTGAAAAGGGAATAAAAAAAGACGCTGTTAAGAAAATAATTTTTAAAAAAATGCGTGCACGTAACTATCAATCTGTAAAAAGCATTTGATGTACATTCTGACCATTCAACAACTTACTCTTGAACACGCACATTTTGGGTCCCTTTACGAAAGAAGTATAACTACACCTTATTAACTTTGTTATTCATAAATACATGTTTTCCAATACTGTTTTCTTTTATTCTAAACTGAAAAAGTCAGGCAACAACGCGTTTATATTAAAATATTAATCAAATTAATGATTCTACTTTGTGCACGATGATTAGAATTTTGCCGCACGTTGCCTTTGGTATTCTGCTGATCGGACATACAATTTTGAGTCTGCTATGTCCTTAAGGGGAGGGGCAACAGCTGAAGGCTATCTCGCTTCTTAGTGGATCAAATGCATAGTAAAGAATCTTAAAATCCGCAATCAAATTTGAGACAAAAGTTTCGTTTGCATAGATACGGCTGTCATATTGGATTTAATTGACACGTCTTACGTAATTGATGCCGCACTTATTATTCAAGGAAATAAATCGTGTTTTTTTGCCTATATCTTAGCAAGCAAGAGATCTACAAATCTGTATGATGAATTGTTCCCGAACGTATTATAAACAAAAAATTATGAATTTTTTCCTGAGGTAGTATTCACGTGTGCAAAAAATCCGTAAAAATCCACACTCCAAAAATCTCAAACAAAACTATATTCTCTATATATCCAAAATTCATAATACAAATTAATTTAGTATTACATCTTTTCTTCATTCTATGAAAATTTCATGAAGAATGAATGAAAAGTGGTGGAGTTATTAAAAACAATATATTATAGAAAACCACGTTTCGAGAAAACAGGGGATAAAGAAAACAATGATTTTATGAGGAAATGGTGGTGACAAACATGCCCGGTATGGGACGAAATAAGGCTTTAGGGGGCTCTTATGCGATGAAATAGTTTCAAGAGAGGCTGAAGAAGCTAAAAATGACTACAACTTAAAATCCAT